TGCAGACAATGCTGCGCAGCTTTCGATTTTCACTAATTATTCGACTAACTGGTAATCATCTGAAAAGCGCTAGATAGTGCGATACATAGCAACCAACACCGTGGATGAAAAAACATTCAAAACAGGGGCTGAAAAAACATCGACGTACCAAATAAAGCATTGGAAAAATTCCACGATACCACTAAATGGCGACTGGTAGGAAGAGTAACAACCACGCAAAACAGCGGTAGGTTGGAGGAGAATCACAGTATAGCACTCCCTTTACAACTGAATAGCAGCGAGGCCTTAATATGGAGTACTGATAGATCGTTAGTACTTTGATCTCCCATCGGAGAAGTCTGGCGAATATTGTGACAGATTTAGCAGGTTCAATTCAAGAGGACCATATGCATCAAAACCGGCCCATAGCCTTAAGGATCACAATTCTGACTTGTAATCTGAGGGCGCAGGTTCAAGACTGCATAGGGGGACTAGGCGACCTACGCAGTATCCTTAGCCTCGTGCGACTGCTGGTGGTCGCAAGGTAGCGAAGCGTCGGTGCTGCGTACCGGCTTAGTGCTGATGTCCTTATTTAAGATGTACCATCCCATATAAACCTGTCAATGTATGGCTTCATGCATCCGAGGTACTGGCTGCTAGTATTGTCATCCGGGTGAGGAGTGGCGAACCATGTTGGCTAAGACGAGCAATCAGTGACCATAAGAACGTGATTTACCAGCGCATGCATTACCGCCCAAAAAGGGTCTGTTGATGTACTAGAGAGTGGTGACAAACGGCTAGAGAAAGGCAGCATAATCTTTTCTGCGCTGTCACTAGACATGAATAATACTGTACCAACACTGGTGTCTAAACCTGATTCGTCTCGCAGCTTACGACAAGCATCGACCATAGTTAACTACAGTTACAACACAATACCACAATGCGGTATTGCGCACTCAAAATGCGATAAAATATTGCCACTCCCATCTATAGATAGTTGGTGACTTGAAAAGTCACATTGGTCTTGCCGATGCGTGAAGTGGTAATACGACCACATAGACACATCAAGTACTAAAAACGTGACTGTCAGCCAATCGTGAGGAATGCTGATGGTTCACTCCTAGTCCAGCGACAAGATCTGTCAAGTTTATGCAGTCGAGGTGAGCTCAGGAGAAGGGGCCCCATAGAATCGTCGCCGAAGTTGCGACAAGGAGCTACAAAGCATGAACGAATATTCCCGATGCAATTCACAAAATGACAGTACGACAGCCAGACGCCAATGACTGGATAGAATGGGATTTCAGGTAGGTAAAGAAGATTATGGAAAGCCGTTTGTATGCGTGACTATCCAACACTTGATAAATTGTTAATATACACCCTGTACATCCTCGCCAGGGGCGTAAAAGCGAGATATCGCTTAAATACGGTGCTGAATAGTTTAGTACTAATCTGAATCGTAGACAAATTTTCGCATTAATCTATCTGGTTAGTGTTAAGTGAGAAGTGTCGATGTCATTCGTTGGCTCAAATCCAGCTACCTAATGTTCATGTACTGCTGATCAGATTAGCTAGTTCGTGTCACTGACATTTACAAATAATATGAGATTACTTGTTTAAAACAAGATGAGATAAGATCTTCGGCAAGAACAGTACTAAATATCACAATCCACGACCGCGTTCGTGTTGGTTGGACTTGAAAAGAGCAGAAATAGAAGTGATCAAGTGCTTACTGGGTAACGCTTTGGCACAATAACACGGATCATGGAATTGTAATCCAGACAATTAGGAATTCATTGTTGTGCCGTGGATATAATTTGTGCCTAGAATACAACGCAATAACCGAACGGCGACCTGCTTAAGGATAATACTGTCATCTTGACTACTAAGGTCGCAACGGCAATAGCAGAATTGCAGGTCCTATTTCAAAGAAAGTGTACATAACTCGAATCCACCCTCTGAGAACCACTTGCTTGATTGTTGGTAATAGTCTTATTCAAATTCATCGGCTGATTCAAATTTAACATGCGTATCAACCCAATAAAAAGTCTGAGTGCTGCAAGCCACCAAGAACATGCATCAAATGTAGTAATTAGAACATAAATATCCATCAGATGTACAAGTTGAGTAGTTAGTAAAAGTGCCAGAATGAGTAGATGAGAGGCTCAAGAGAATGATAGAGCTACGCGGTCAAAAAATACGAAGTCTTTTATATAGCTGGGATCGAAAGTCATAATACATGAATTGAAGTGAGCTAAAACGAATGAAAACCATCAGACAGCCAGAATATGATCAAACCAAATGAGCAGAAGGAAAGCAATCGCACTACGCTTAAAAACCGTCCACCATTTCATCGAAGTGACCAAAGTCTAAGAAACAAGGCGAACTCTGCGGAACAAAACAATCTGTAGCATAAAGTAGAATGCTTTGGAAATGGCAGCACTACACTTCTTCTGTCCATCTGTTCTTAAACGGTGAATAAATAACCCAATATTTTAGGCACGTGGTCAGCGAATAGAATACCATTGCCTTTTCACTACCACTTTAACAAAAATGGACTCCGTGTGAATGGATGCAGGAAAAGGGAACGCAAGTGCATTACGGCTACAGTCGGTGTGTTCCCACCACTAGCACTTGAAAGCAACAGCAGCGAATTCAATCATAGTACTTCGGAGTTGGCTGCTGATGTTCATGGGTGGTGGCTTCCGAAATGACAGCCAAAACGGGTCGAGAAACAGGGAAAGTGAACAAATAGAGGAAGAGAGCTAAGGCTTAAAAGTGTGATGAGTTGTTTGAGATAGTACATTTTTACACGGAAATGTATTGCTGTGATACACAAACTTTGAAAACAATCGTAAAGAGAACAAACTTTAGTCATATGATTACTGTCTCGGGTAGTGTGCATCATGTAAATAAAGAGCCAGGAAGTTGCGTGGTGACGCACATAGTGAGAGTAGATTGGTTTCTGTAAACTAAGATATCCATGTTCAATCTTTAAAAACAAGGCGTCTAAGCTGTTCTTCAGGGTAAATAAACAACACATCGGATAAGAGCACAGCTCAGGAAGTTAAATGAATGCTGGAAGTGAAAGTGCACTGTTATTAGAATGAAAACTAGAATAGATGCTCAGCACGCGAGAGAAGCTACCAAAGTGCAAGTTGAGGTGAAACCCGATGTTAATATGCTGATAAGTGACATGAAGCGAGGACGTTATGGGTAAAGAGGCTGTCAACATATCCACAATAAAAAGTGGAATGCAGTCTGATACGAGGTGCCGTCAATCTCGCTGGAAATATGAATCACTTAGGGTCGCGCAACAGTTTAAAGTGAGATGTTTTCAACTATGTGCCTGATATATCTGATTTATTAATATAACGGTAAAAGACGACCACACGAAATATATATATCAGTGGTGTGAAGATGAACATTTTCGTACATAAAAGCTGTGAACCTACGTCCTCTGCGATATAGTATAGATGCTGGGGGTGAGGCAAGTTCAATATTGCTAAATTGCTAAGGAAATGGGTCATCAAGCCCACAAAATGCCAGCACTCAATTGGACCCCACCATGCGACATGCTAATGACACGCCAAAATACAACGTGTGCATCTGAGATGGAAAGCTAATAAGACACGCTTAGCAAAAAATACTCAAAAGTAACCAGGAAATTCGATTCCATATGGCTTAAAATGACGTGCGACTAGCAGTGTAGCGAGGCCCATGCCACAGTAAGTAAAAGCGGGTTTCGGCTGTGACGCACTTTACGAGCATCAGAATCATGCCACATGACGAAAGGAGAACTAGGTGATGAGGTATACAGTGTCATGTGAAGGACAGAAGCAAGTACTCTGAAGACAAGTGGATGATCACTTTGTCCGGACAGATGGACGGCCATCCGTCCCATTTGGGCGTGTTCGTGGTCAGTCGCAAAGGAAAGTAAAAGTAAAAATGAAAGGACATAATGTGTTTACATGGGTGGCCAACTATTATGATGCATTGACACCACCAATTCTCATCTAATAGTGTACCTTAACAAAATCGTATTTTCAATCTGCGCGAGTGACCAATACGTTGCCGCTGTGTAACCGTTTCTGTGCCACTGGCCGTCCCGGTGAGAAAGTTGGGAAGAATGTCGGTCAGGCAAAACATTTTCAGAATCGATTTTCTCTGAGCGTGGTGATTGCTACCAGGGAAATTACATTCGCAGCATAACACAGTGCTGCGCAGGAGAAACGTTTTGTGTGACCAAAATGCATCCAAAAAAACGTTTCGCGGGAAAGGCTAAGGGCACAAAACAGGTCACTCAGTGCACACCAACGGACGATGCAGCAGACATTTTTCGGTCACTCGTGCCATGCGGGCGGCCGTCACATTTTGGTGTTTTTGCCGCAAATAAATATTATGACAAAATAATGATTGACGCAATTTTCCTATGTATCAAATAAGGTTATAAAGTATCGTGAACACTACCGCATTAACTCGCAAGTTATTCATTTGCAATAAAATAGTACACCTCGTTGGCGTCAGTGACCCATTTGTGTCTTTGATGAGGTACAATTTGGACACAATACAATAATGAAATCAGTATTTGGTCATCCAATGAACCGACTAGCGAAAGGCACTCGGTAATGCGCGTCATGATGCCTTGAGAATCAAGTTCCGATGAGCGTGGACATTTGCCGTCAAGGAAAGGCGCATTTATGACATTTATGAAAGATGCACTGGAATGTTTTGGGTGATCGTTATGTGACTATAGATTGCATCAGTACTTTGGACGGCCAGTAGTATAAAAATTAAACGCTGTGGGAGCTCTAATGCTGACTTAGGCGTACGCTCGTGTTGAGAGTGTAAACAGTGTACTGAGAGAAGTGCAAAATATGAAAACTATAACAGTCATCAAGCGAAACATTTGAAATGTGGTGCAAGGAACAGAAAAACGCAAGTTAGCTCACGGGAACGTTCTAGTGACCTGAGGATGTCCAGGTCAATAAAACATGGTAGAAAATATGAAGCAACTCACTGACCTGGGTTTCGCTTTCAATGACAAGCCGAACCTTATCCTCGGTAAGATTTTCGGAAGACTTTTTCTGTTCTTCTTCTTCCCCTTCATCTTCATAAACCTTCACCTCATCCGTGCAAGCGAGGTTTTCAGCTGCAGTCGAACTCAGCATGTCCAAAAGAATTAAAATCAAATAGACACGATAGAAGTAATTGACTGCACTTCGGTTAAAGCGTTTCTAGGCATTTCGAAAGCAGGAGAACACCAATTGGGACTACGCACAGCGCCAGGCCAAAACTCCGTAAGGGCCCATCGCACTGAACGTTGCGAGTGCAAACTAGAAGCAGACGTAAAGGTCGAAAGTACAAGGTTCAATTGATGCGTTTAAAGATACATTTAACTACATTATCAAGGTCACTAATCAAAGTACTGGACAAATAGCCACTGCCAGTTCTGCATATGATTCTTCTCGTAATTAGCAAATGCATACAAAATTGACGTTGGTCAATGAGAAAGCCGTCCCCAGCTCTAAAGGTAGGCCTTTCGCTAAAGGTCTTTCTTGGATGTACCACAAGCCATGCTCCCTGTTGAACAGAGGAAGTAAGTTGGAATCAATAAAGCACAAACAAGCTACATCTATCTAAGGTACGACACAGTCAGAAATCAGTGTATGCTAGGGAAACGCCAGAAACAGGGTCAAAACGAACATAGCCAGGTTGTACATCCCCGAAGCTGCCCAAATAAACTCTTTTCGTATCTAAGACGACGCACAAAGCCAGGCAGGGGTATTTTTGCCCCAGCTCTTCGCAGCATAGTCGCTGTTCTCTATGCTGAATATGAAGAAGCCCACCTACTAGCCCCCCAGTACTCATCAGTCTTCTCTGTAGTCTTCGTCACCCAGTGATGCTCCGACAGTGCACTGTCCGTTGCTGGAGCAAAATGTATTGAAACTTACATGAAATGAACCCGAATACCACCTCAGGTCCAGAAGTACTTCGCGCACTATTTCTTGAGATGGCACCTGAATACATGGCTGAACCAATATGCAAAACGTTCCGTCGTGCGCTCGCGAATGGGCGCTTACCAAATGACTTTAGAGTTGGCTTAGCAATACCGAAACATAAAGTTGGCAACCAACGCGGTCCCGCGAACTACCGGCCGATGTACATCACGCCCGTCATCTGAAAGCTCATGGAACTAATTCGGAAGAGTGCCCAACACGTTCACTGCGAAAGCACGCGCGCTCTCTCCCTCTCCGCATGGATTCCTCAGAGCAGGACCTTGCATAACTACGTTGCTTGTTGCTATAAAACATGCACCAGAGCAGTATACGAGAGGCGATACCTAGACGTTAGCTTCATCGACTTCAGAAAGGCTTTTGTTGAAGTTCCAAACAAACGATTGCTGCTTAAACTCTAGGGGATTGACTTCGGTGGAAATGTCCTAGCTTGGATAAAAGACCTTCTCATGGCTCTGACCATTTGAGTGAAAGTGAACCAGTCACTCTCTACCACTGTGCCTATGACTTGCGGTGTTCACCAAGGCTCCGTCGTTGAGACTGAACTCTACAAACTCTACTTTAACGGCCCTAAGACACACCAAGCTGACTACCTAATCTATGCAAGCGATCTCAAACTATGGACAGGAGTTTCCAGCTTTGATGACGCTGACAGGCTTCAAGCATCACTTGACTTGCTGCATGATTTGTCCGGCAAGTTGGAACTCGCGGTTAAACTTGGCGAATGTGCACTTCTCCACATTGAGGCCCTGGTTCCGTTCGGCTCGGTTCACATCAAGGTCTATCTTCTCAAGTGCGTCACGCAAGAGTAGCAGCTTGTTGTTGTCGTTTCAAACGACCTCATCACCACTGCAGGCACACTAAAGGTCGCGGCTGCGAAAAAGGTGCCGGGTGCCCTATGAAAACTGTTCTCTTAAATCGGACCAGAGACCTTTAGAAACTTGCTCATTTAACATATTTTCCCAAGCCTGGAGTACGACCTTCCAAATGTCTATCCACTTCGAAATAGGTATGTGCCTTGTTCAGAGGTTAACAGACGTGGCTCGAAATCCGTCTCGAAACTTCATGACCTCCGTTACCTTCATGGACTCCGGAAGCTTAACTTGTTACCCTGGAGTAATGCTGCCTTTGACAGGACCTCATTTACACCTGACAGATCCTAAGGGAAGAATTTGGAACAGACCAACAAGAGCTCGTTCAACTCAAAGTGGGTGTCTCTGCTCAGGTTCACAAGTGGAAGCTTTACCAACTAAGGATACTTTCCGTCCAGTCCGATGCTGCCCTAACTACCCTGTAGGTGAATGGGTGGTACAGCTTGCCAGAGAGTGTAGTTGATGTACAGACCGATGAGGGTATTAAGCGTATGCTACATTCGCACCTGAGGAGTACCGCGGGTTCCTGCAGCTTCTATTGCAAAGGCGGCTATCCCCAGCTACGCTTCCATTGGCAAACACAAGCGCCAACCTCGCAATGCACTGATAAAGACGAAGCTGACAATGGTCTATCCTACTGCTCTCTACACGCTACTGAACAAATGAAGCAAAGCTGTGTGTTATGGTATCATTCTATACGGTTATTCAGGAGACAAAAAGGTGCAACTTTACATGTTGTTAAAGATAAACTGACAAGTATAAGCATATGGTGCGTTTCATCGGTTGCTGTTTGTCTGCTGTTAACGAGTATTCCTACCTACTGCCCTTCCCAGCACTATGTAACTATGGCTTAAATTCAGATTTACGTAAACCTTCCAAATTTGATCACCTCGCTAATTTCAATTTCAGTTGAAACAAATGTGGTGGAAATTTCCCGCAGGTGTTTCCTTTTGTGTGTGTTATTGAACCGGAGCATAGCACATGCGATCAAGTTTAAACTAAGTGGAGCCAAACCAATACAAGCGCATTAGCGCACGGTCAATCAAACTATGCCTACGTATCGGTCCCCACCATGCAGGCCAAGTGCATGTGAATAGAGTATAAGAAAACAAAACTTAACCAAAACAGTACAGTCTAATATATAATACAAGCACAATTGTGGGAACAGAGGTAATAACAACAATACCAGGTGAGAATTTTGCGAAACGTTTACGTAGATAGGTTTAAACAAGCTAGCAAAGCACATCGTGAAGGCTTTCTACCTGCTTCACGGTTGGTGCTACTACCACATCCTTGGGCAGCGCGTTGGATGAAGTTAGGACTTTAGGTATTAAAGGTAGTTCAACCGTAATGCAGTCAGGTCTACTTTTTTCTAGCTTCAGAGCGTGGCCCGACGAGGTAAAAGTCCGGTGTGATGGACCATTGGACATGAGGCAAGGCCAACCAGTCCAATCAGTGAACGAAAAATGTCGACTGCTTGGTCTCGAAAGCGTCGATCTTGTCGCTAAAGCATTCACAGTATAAGCAGCCAATCGGGATTTCAAAGATTTCCTAACCAGTGTAGCATTCGGTGCCAGGCCACTGAACTCGTCCAACTGCCACCTTTTCGCGGACCAAGCATAGAGAACAGGCCCTATCTAAAGAATGGTTTGAACCCAAACGATCTGCAGGTCATACGCGATCTTTGGAGACGTCTGCGTGTAGCCGTCCCCTGGTTCCCACTGGATTTGGTTTCCGAGGACTACAAACTGCCCAGGTCAACTTGGTGGGTCGGCTGAAGTAATGCAATTCCGCCAAGTAGTCATTCCGTTGAGGGTGTACTTGAATGTATGCGCAGGAGCCAACGCAATAGGAGACTCTAGAACCTTCCTAATCGCTATGTGGAAAGTCAAGGTGTCATCAGAATCCGTCAGTGCAATCCATAATTTAAGTCATTGCCTAGCAGAAGAGCTAGTAGTTTGAGCACTTCAGGATGGTCTTTAACATACAACAAGAACAGTACTGTTGCGAGAACCGACCACTGTGAGACGTGGCTTCACGGGTTTCACGGGTTTGCGCAGAACGAGTAAGCGTAGCTTTTCGGTGGTTCTGCCTCGGGATCTCACGGCAAGGTCCTGATCTCCTCGGTAGGTACCAGATGTTGTGGGTCTCGACGCAGTAGTGGTGTTCAGCACAAGAATTCAGCGAGTTGACTATGGGAAAGTGGATACCGGGAACAAGAGAGTGGTGTAGGTAAATTCGGCAAAGTTGGATAGAAGCAAAATGATAGAAGCGCCGCGTGTTAGCTTGGCAAATGGCCAGATCTTAGCAACGTGGAAGACCAGCGAGGTAAGAGCCAAGCGTCTAGGCGCTGTTTGAAGGCCTACGTTTTGAGCGCTGAGACAACAACTTCAGGGAGGGGTTTCCAAGCGAAGGCAATACGCACACTGAAACTGTTTCTTCGGCACAGAAGGCGGCTGCTACGAGTCATCAGTTTGAGTGAGTGCCCTAGAAGATGATCTGTACGGGCGCGGACCAGCAATCCTGCGTTTAAATGCCTGTTATTAGTCAGGACGGAATAAGCTAAGATAAGGTCGCCACGAAGCCTGCGATATTTCAACGCGAAGAGGTTAAGGGCCGCCAGACGCTCCTCATACGAGAAGTGGGATAGTCCGTCCACTCTCTTAGTGGCTCTGCGCTGTACAGTTTTCAGCATGGCCTCGTCCTTCTTCAGGTAGGGCGGATGGACAAGTATGTTTTACTCCAGCAGCGGACGTACTAAAGTGCTATAGGGACGGACAAATGTCTCTCTAGGGAAAGACCCTAGTACACGTCCAAGGAGGGCCAGGCGAACGCTAGCCTTTCGCGCCAGTGTAGCTACACTGGCGCTCGGGCTCGGGTCGGCGGACATTATTGTCCCCAGGTCGCGTTCCTGGGATGTGGCTTTAAGATGCACACCGCCGATATTGTACGGATTAGCCATACCTTGACCAATGTGCATGACTTTGCACTTGTTGATGTTAAAAGCGAGCGAATTTTTCGAGGCCCAAGAATAAGCAGCATCGATATCTGTCTGAAGAAGTGCCTGATCACTTGTCCTGCGGATAGGTCGCCATATCTTAGCGTCGTCCGCATAAAGCAGTATGTGGCTGCTGCTACAGGATGGGAGGTCGTTGATGAACAAATTGAACAGCACGGCCCCGAGGATGGATCACTGGGGCACCCCGGTCGTTGCAGCCAGAGCGCTGGAGAGTGCGCCGTTTACACGAACTCGGTAGGTGCGGCCAGACAGGTAGGCACTTAGCCAGCAGATTGCTTGCTGGTCGATCCCCAAACTCGGCAGTTTACTCAACGGCAGTGCGTGATTGACCCGGTCGAATGCTTTTGAGAGCAACTTGACGGAAAGAACGCTCGGAGCTTAGTGGGAAAGTCATATCACTTCCCTCTAAGAAAGCAGAAATCAACCTCAAGTTTTGGACATATACGACACAGA